AGACCAGAGGTCACCTTATATTGAACAGATCACATTAAGTTGTTTTTGAATAGGGGGACCAGAGGTCACCTTATATTGAACATCATTAGGGGGACCAGAGGTTACATAAAGTTGTATGTGAATACGGAGTCCAGAGGTCACTTCATTTATTCATTAGGGGGACAGATCGCATTAAGTTGTTTTTGAATGGGGGACCGGAGGTAACCTTATATTGTACTTATTAGGGGGACCAGAGGTCACCTTTTATTGAACATCATCAGGGGGACCAGAGGTCACACAAAGTTGTATATGAATACGGGGACCAGAGGTCACCTAATATTGTATATTATCAAGGAGACCTGAGGTAACCTTATATTGTACATCATTTTGGAGATCAAAAGTCACATAAAGTTGTATGTAAGTGCGGAGTACAGAGGTCACCTTATAATTTAAGTTATTAGGGAGACTTGTGGCCATCTTATGCTGAAGATCGTTAGGGATACCAAAAGGTCACCTAATCTTGTAAGGAGACAATAGGTTTAAAAGTGTGGTATATGAAGAATTATTTCCCAAACTCAGACTCTGATTTTTATGACAAGCAAAAACAAAAAGGTACACAATTTCTCGTCGGAATGGGGATGTGTGTTCGGACAATTTGCTTGTCTTCATATATATGTATATGATTCTTAGAAGCAATTCTCATGGGGTCCGTGTTTTCTAAGTCTATTTTTGGTAAGTCTCTTTTTGGTTAGTTTTGTTTCCCCATTTGCAGATCATCGGGGGTGGTAATTGGAGTTCAGCATCTCCCTTCCATTAAATTTTCACTCATCAATTACAAGGGGAACATGTGTTCTGTAATATCAATAAGGAGGCCAGAGGTATATTGATAAGGTCTTTTTTGTGGTAGAATATATCATTTGGGAGACCAGAGGTCACCTAACGTAATTTATTACCAAATCATACCATTAGGAAATATATAAAGATAACGAACAGTATTCAATCTCGAAAATCCAATGAAACGATACAAATTTGAAGCAGAGCAAACACGGACCTCAAAATTTAGAGGTGGGATCATGTGCCATGGAGAAGTGAGCATCCCCTGCCGACCGGTCACACCCGCCGTGTGCTCCTTGTCATGATCGAGTAATAACGGAGAAATCCATAGGTAGTTCAGTGTAAAAATAATGGCCTAACAATTAGTATGAAAAAAATCAGTCAGCATTTGACTCAATGATAGGTTGTATGTGATGACAAGGTCATTGTACCGACCGTAAAAATGATAAATTCAAACGAGACTGTTGATATCCTTGTTTCATCAACTTGTTTGTCAATAGCTTGCCTCGTTTTAGAAATTGTTCGTACGTAGAGCATGCTCTTGCATATCCAATCAACTGAGAGACATAAACCCCATATGCAGGTGATAAGGGTATATTGCTACATAAGTAAGGGAAGTTCAGGATTGAAAAGTTGAAGTCATCACGTTTATTATAAAGCTAGTTTAGGTTACCATTAACGTCTTTTTCTTGTAAAATTTCTACATATGAAACAGATGTGTCAGAATATGTGGTATCTTCTATTTCAAGCTCACTGGGATATATCGAGTCGACATATGAATGAAAGTAACTATTGTTAATTGATAATACGTTGTCCATATATCGAAATGTCGAGTTGAAAGCAACAGCAAGTGTTTTTTTCTCATGTAGAAGTTTTTGAATAAATTCTACTTCATATGAATACAACAATAGGTCTGCTAATAAGGGGGCGAAATTGGTTCCCATGGGAATTCCAACAGATTGTTAGAAGACCTGATCTCCAAAAATGAAAGAAAAAGTGAGCAAGCTCACATACCCGACGCTCCCCCAAAACTCGACAATGCAACACGTAATGAATGACACAGAGCATTTTGAATACACAGTATAATTCAAAAAGGGGCATTACTTGCAAAAAATCATCACATCAAAACTTCTTGCATATAAGGACATTCATATCTTGGTATGTTACAAAGTTAATTGGGCAGAAGTTTCTAGATAAATAATGGAATCAAAATTTCTTGGTAGTATACAAATCTATACATTATGTCTGAAATACCTACAAAGTTTCACTAAATTCAGTGCAGGAGTTATGCTGACAAACTGTTATTTAAATTCTCAGTGATTTCGATTTGTTAATGAGTGTAATTTCACATGACAATTTACACATTTAAATAATTGATGGAAACAAAATTATGATGTAGTCATATGAATTTGCTAATATACTGTACTTATGAAATTATTTGAGGCAAAGCACCAATTTGAAGGGGGGTGAGAACTATCCAAGATTTTGTGTGTGTGTGTGTGTGAGGGTGTGTGTGTGTGTGTTAAATCATTAATGTTTTGATCTCACAATCAAAAGGGGTCTTTTAAGGTCATAAATTATTTCACATAAACTTTCATTACAAAAGCTGATTCCAGTGGATTTCCTTATTACCTAGCTGGAAAATTTCTTCAATAATAGGCAAAACTTTTAAGACAAAAATAAAATGGAATCGGAATTTCCTGGTAATATGCACATCTACACACTGTGTACTAAATATCTGCAAAGTTTAACCAAATTCTATGCAGCGGTTTAAGAGGAGTTGCACTAACAAACTGTCCATCTCCATATTCAAGATATGGCCAAAAATCTAAGTTGAAAAGTGCCGAAATTCCCAGAAAAAATAAAGGAATCGGAATTTCCTGGTAATATGCACATCTACACATTGTGTCCTAAATACATGTATCTGCAAAGTTTGACCAAATTCTGTGCAGCGCTTTAAGAGGAGTTGCGCTGACAAACTGTTAATCTCTATATTCAAGATATGGCCAAAAATCTAAGTTGAAAAGTGCCGAAATTCCCAGAAAAAATAAAGGAATCGGAATTTCCTGGTAATATGCACATCTACACATTGTGTCCTAAATACATGTATCTGCAAAGTTTGACCAAATTCTGTGCAGCGCTTTAAGAGGAGTTGCGCTGACAAACTGTTCATCTCTATATTCAAGATATGGCCAAAAATCTAAGTTGAAAAGTGCCGAAATTCCCAGAAAAAATAAAGAAATCGGAATTTCCTGGTAATATGCACGTCTACACATTATGTGCTAAATATCTACAAAGTTTAACCAAATTCTGTACAGCGGTGTATGAGGAGTTGCGCTGACAAAAAAACAGGACTGATGGACTGACTGTCTGACTGACGGACGGGTTAAAAACATTATACCTCACGCAACTTGTTGCATGGGGTATAACTACATAGATATTGTCAATCAGAAACTCAAGCATCTTTTTGATATCAACTTCAGTGTACTTGTGTACAATCAGAGTGCTTTTAACAAAATAATTCTGTAAATGACCAATGCCAAGGTAAGTATATTTACGAGTTTCATTTTTATTGAAAAAGCAGCTGTCTATGATGTCATAAAGCCTGGACTTCAATTTATCGTGGGGAATGGTTATATAAAGTGTTGAAAAGTCGTACGTCTTGATGCTATTGATTTTATTAAAGTTTTGTGATTTCAAATTTTCCAAAAGTTCTTTGGAGTTTTTAAGTATCAACATCTGATTTACACCACTTCTCGAATATACTGTTGTACAGTACTCCTGAAGTTTCTCCTTCATTACAGTAAATATTTTAGTGAGGAGTAAAGAAGGGGACTTGGTGGAACATATACTGGAACCCGCTATGTATCTTTGTTTGTAAGGATTTTATGAAGTTTAGGAATCCAGTAAAGGTATGGTAATTCAAATTCATTTTGATTGTTGGGAATATTGAAAGTATCTAAAACGGACATATGATTTTGAAGAATTTCCTCCTTAGAAAGGAAGGTATGGGTGTAAGTTGGATTTCCACCCGTAGAATTAAATCCTAGTTCCTCTAAAATACAATTCAAATAGTGAGCCTTACAAACAAAGACTATGTTGTTACCAGCTTTGTCAGCTAGAACCAGTACATACTGATTGTGTAATCTATCTAATTCCTTTTTTACTTCTGAATTATTAAAGACAGAAGGATAAATAGTTTTCATACAACCCCTCAATCGCTTAATGCGAGATTTCAACATCCATCTGATGCTCTTAATCCATTCTGACAAAGTTTCAAGGTCTTCTTTTTCGTGTTTTGCCCATGGCGTAGTCTTCCACAGAATTCATAATATTTATAAAGTTATGACGCCAGTTGAAAGAACGGGGTTCCCTAAAAATAAGGGATTTAAGGTCCTCATTTTTAACTATGTTTACATCACCAGTAATGACGTGTCCAGCAGGACTATAGTTGTAGGATGAAGAAGAACATGAACGCGTAGGAAGATTATGTATCAGATGGTAGATGTATATTTATAAGAAATACAAGGTGTGGACTTCAACTTGAAATATGGTGGAATACAAGACTGGACCCTTTTGTGATTAAGAATATTATTAATATTAACTGCGTCGATTCTTTTGTTTGCAAATTGAAATTTTAGGAACAAACGGTTTGTCTTAAAGTATCCATGAAAGGTCCAAGGGGGCATGGTCGCCCCCCCCCCCCCCTCCTTTCCAGCTAGATCTGCGCGAGCAGAGACAAAAGGTCACCTACTCTGATACAGTGTATATTAATAAGGAGACCAGAGGAGCTATTGTGTTACTTTGATACGGTCGCGTAACGTGGTTCATCATTAGGGAGACCACGGGTCACCTAACTTAATTCATTACAATATAACTTATATATCTTAAAATATAACAGTCAATGTTGCTTGCTTTACCCACTATTGTATCTTTCCTAACATCAGATGATTATTCTTTAAAGAAATGCATTTTCTGTTTGTTGTATTACAATTTCAGAGGTTTCCCAGTAGAACAATTTATTCTACTTTCACTTTGCGGTTGCAGTGCACTATATGCTACCCCACAACAAATTTCACATGATTATAAAGTATAAATCGTCTACACCAACTGTACTTCAGTGTAGACAAATCATACGCACCAAGAAAAAAATACACTGATCCTGAACGCTGCATAACTTTTAAATATATTTATAAATGGTATCGGAAACACGTGGTGTTGTTTGTTTACGTGTTTAGGAAGTATTTATAGTATCTAAGATTTGATTGGGTTTTAACGATTGATATGAGTTCAAATGAAATCGTGCGGAACAGGTAGTTTACCTGTGTCCAGGTATTAAGAATAAGAGGTTATTCGAGGTTTCGCTGCGCTTAGTGCAACAAGTAAAAAGTCGAATAGATGTCTCGGCAAAAAACAGATTTCTTGGCCCAATACCGGGAGGAAGATGAGTCTCTAGACGAAACTCTACTACAAGAAACCGCTGGTGAACAGAAAACCACTCGCAAGACGGCAAATTCTGCGGAGATCTCTGGACACTCTAGCCCCCGTGTAAGTGCGGACTTGGCCGACACCTTCAACCTGTTCAAGTCATACCTGGACAACAAACTAGATACTCTCAAGGAGGAACTCTCTACGGGTAACGACATCGAAAATTTAACAAAAACCATTAACAAAGAGGTCTCTGTAAAATTCAAGAGTGAAGGGAACAAAATTCAGTTTAACTTTAATACTGAAATATTGGGTGATTTGAATAAACTTAAAAAGCGCATTTCAGATTCTTCCACTTTGAGCATCGTTAGAGAGCTCATTTCCAAGGTTACTAAGCGTAACAAGCTCATCAGGATTGCCGATAAATCTCCGGCCGGGTGGTCGACAGTCCGTGAGTATGAAAGTGATGATTTGGCCTCCGACTCTGAGGACGAAAAACGTCTACGTCAAGCTGAAAACCGAGCATTACGAGCTATCAAGGAAAAACGCCGTTTTCAGCCATACTCCAAGTCTGGTTCTGCAACAACTTCGCTACCTGATGGTAGGTCTGGTGGTTCTGGCCGTAATTTTCGTCCCTACAAGCGTAAGGAGGCCTCTCCATACGACGTGTGCTACAACTGCCATAAGCTCGGCCATTGGAAATCCGCATGCACTGCCCCAGCCAGAACCAACAACCCAAGCACAAGCTCGTCAACCCAGTGATTATGAGAATCAGTATGTATATTTCGTTGATGAATCTATTTTTACTGATCAGTTTGAATCATTTGTACAGCAAGTAAATTATTTTAAAAATTTACCTGATATTGGTAAAGGGGTGAAAGGCAGTTTACGCAAACATTTTGAGTTTTGGAAGTCCATAAGCACTAATGAGTTCATATTAGATACTATTAAAAATGGTTATGTTATTCCTTTTGTTACAGTACCGCCACGCATGAGACTGAATAATAACAAATCTGCAATGAAAAACCAACAATTTGTTGATCAGTCTGTTTCAGATCTTCTTGAGAGCGGCTGCGTACAAGAGGTTCCCTTTCAGCCACATGTGGTCAGTCCACTAAGTGTTGCAGAAAATAAAGGGTCTGGTAAAAAGAGACTTATTCTGGATTTGAGTCAATTGAATTATTTTGTAGACAAAAGAAAAGTAAAGTTTGAAGACTGGCGTATTGCTTTGAATTTTTTCAATAAAGATTATTTTCTGTTTAAGTTTGATCTAAAGTCAGGCTATCACCACATAGATATTTGTAAAAGTCAGATTACTTTCCTTTCATTCAGTTGGAAAGATAAGTTTTATTGTTTCAATGTTTTACCTTTTGGTCTAACGTCTGCGCCTTATATTTTTACCAAGTGTCTAAGACCCATCGTGAAGTACTGGAGAAGCCGCGGAATTGACATTGTTTTGTATCTGGACGACGGTCTTGGTTTTGGTAAAGATTTACAAACGTGTGTTAAAGCATCAAATTTAGTTCAAGAGACTTTAGAAAAAGCAGGTTTGCTAATTAATATTGAAAAGTCTATTTTTCAGCCTGTCCAGTGTTTGGAGTGGTTAGGGTTGGTATGGGATACCAGTGTATTTTCTCTACGTATACCTGAAAGACGACTTTCTGATGCTCAGAACTCGATAGAATTTCTTATTGATAGATTTCCCAACTTTACAGCTCGAGATCTCGCAAAAGCGGCTGGGAAAGTTATTTCCATGTCACCAGTTGTTGGTAATGTAACAAGTTTGATGACCAGACACATTTATTTAGCTATAGAGAGCAGAAGTCATTGGGATTGTTTAATCAGTTTTTTATTTCCAGAAGCAGTAAAATCAGAGTTGCAGTTCTGGAAGGAAAATCTTGATAAGTTGAATCAGAAACTGTTAGTTAAAGACTCGTTACCAATAACGCTTGTGTTTTCAGATGCCAGTGACGTTGCAGCTGGTGCATATACTGTAGAAGCTGACGAAAAGGTTTTTCATAAAACTTGGTCATTGAATGAATCTGTTATGAGCTCCACGTGGAGAGAACTTAAAGCTATACAGTTAGCTTTAGAGTCATTTGCCACTTCATTTATTGGAAAGAGTTTACTTTGGCATACTGACAATCAAAATTGTGTTAAAATTGTACAACGAGGTAGCACTAAATTACATTTACAAGATTTAGCTTTAGACATTTTTTCTAAATGTGTTGAAAATTCTATTTCGTTGAAAATTTGTTGGATACCTAGAAACAAAAACACAAAAGCAGATTATTTGTCTAATTTAGTCGATTATGAAGATTGGCAAACAACTCAAGAGTTTTTTAGTTTTGTTGACCAAATGTGGGGTCCTCATACTATTGATAGATTTGCAAGTGTGTATAACACAAAGTTAACGAGGTTTAACTCCCTTTTTTGGTACCCGGAGACTGAAGCAGTTGATGCTTTTACCCAAAACTGGTGTTTTGAAAATAATTGGTTAGTACCACCTATTTGTCTTGTGAGTAAAGCTATAAAACATGTAATAGCGTGTAAATGTGTGGGTACATTAATTGTTCCAAAATGGCCGTCTGCAGCATTTTGGACGTTACTGTTTGATGAAAATATGAAGTATAAACAGTGTGTAGTTGATGTTTTGGAATTTTCACCATATCAGAATATTTTTGTGCATGGCAAAAATTTGTACAGCCTGTTTGGCTCTGACAGCTTTAATTCCAGAGTATTAGCTGTAAGACTCAGTGGAGTCTGATAGACATGGCCTTAGAAGGCATGGTCTGTGTACATATTAATGTTTGAATTTATTTTATGTTTATTATGACAAGGCCAAGTTTATGGCAAGGTCAAGTATTATTATTAGATTGACATGGCCCTTAATTAGAATGCATTTCTTTTTAAGCTGGCACGGTCAGGAATGGAAAGACAAGGTCGTGCTTATCGACAAGGTCTACTGCGACAAGGCTTTGGTTTCCAAGCATGGTCGGTAATATGACTTTTATTTTAGTTTTGCAGATGTTTTCAAAACTGGAAATTGGATTTCGTTATGGAGGACCTCTCATCCCTCCTTACAATCGCTGGCAAAGAAACTTCCGGATTTAATCATGAATTCCAAGGCTGAAAACACAAGAAAAACATACGGATATGCTTTCAATAAATTTCGTAAGTGGTGTTTTACACATAATATTTCATATCTTCCTGCAACGGATTTCCATGTATCGTTATACTTAACAAGTCTCAGTAATACATGTAGCAGTGCAGGGACAATTGACGAGGCTTTTTATGCAATTAGCTGGGCGCATAAATTGGCGGGATTTCCCAATCCCTGTTCATCCGAACTTACTATTTCAGCCAGAGAGGGATGCCATAGAACTATCGGGAAACAGTTGATAAATAAAAAAGAACCTATTACCTCCAATATACTGAAACAATTGTGTGCTCTTTACGGAGGTGAATCGTGTTCTTTGTTAGATATTAGAATATGTTGTATGTGCTTATTAAGTTATGCTGTTTTTTTTTAAGATTTTCAGAACTTGTTCATTTGAAGAGATCAGATATATGTTTTTATGACAATTATATGACTCTTACTATTCAGAAAAGCAAAACAGATCGTTATAAAGTGGGGAGCAATGTAGTTGTGTCATGTACGAATGAAATTACATGTCCTGTGAGAATGACCAGAAGATATCTCAGTCTAGCAAACATTAACGACCAATCTAATGAATATTTGTTTAGATCTATCACTTATTGTAAAAGTTCTAACACATACAAATTAAGAGGAGAAAAGTACTTGTCATATACAAGGGCTAGAGAGATTCTTCTGGACGCGCTCGCATCATTGGGTTTAGATAGAACTAAGTTTGGTCTGCATAGTCTTCGCGCTGGCGGGGCTACTGCAGCGGCCAACCATGGTGTTTGTGATAGACTATTTAAAAAACATGGCCGGTGGAAATCTGATACTGCTAAAGACGGATATGTGTCAGAAAATCTTAGACAGCAACTGTCAGTTACGAAAAATTTGGGTATATAAAGTGTGGGTTTTTGCTTCTGTCTTTATTGGTCGAGGTCTGTTGCACAGACGCAGGCGATGCCGTTCCTAAACATGTGTTGGAGTTTTGAATTTATAAATAATTTATGTTCTGTTGAACTGGTGAATTAGAACATAAATATATTTATAAATGGTATCGGAAACACGTGGTGTTGTTTGTTTACGTGTTTAGGAAGTATTTATAGTATCTAAGATTTGATTGGGTTTTAACGATTGATATGAGTTCAAATGAAATCGTGCGGAACAGGTAGTTTACCTGTGTCCAGGTATTAAGAATAAGAGGTTATTCGAGGTTTCGCTGCGCTTAGTGCAACAAGTCCCCGCCCACCCACCCTACTTTCTAATGTATATATCTGATATGATTTAATATTTTCGTTTTTTATTTTGTAGAATGTTGTTTCAAAGAAGAATATTTAAAATATTGTAACATTTATGTGTAATAAATGTCTGTTGCACAGACGCAGGCGATGCCGTTCCTAAACATGTGTTGGAGTTTTGAATTTATAAATAATTTATGTTCGGTTGAACTGGTGAATTAGAACATAACACTACTTTTATATTAAGGGTTTGGTTTTGTGTGCAGCCAAGTGAGACTCCCTAAACATAAAAATCTTAATATCTCAAACATTTAGCCTTGCTAACACTTGAAAATTGGTCCATGTCATCTTCATAATGAAAACAATCTCTGGGTATATGCAGCTTAATTGACACTTGCAGCAGTTTGCAGCTATGAAGTGCACAATACAGCTGCAGGACTGCGCAGCTACAGGTTTTAGTAGTGCACCAAAAAATCCACAAAAAATATGAAATAGTTAAACCAATTAAATGGCATAATTATATATTTCTCATCAGACAAATTGTACATTCTTTCATTCTGTACACATAGAATAACATCTGAATCCAATCATACAAAATGAAAATGACTAGTCAGCTCATTGTGATTATAATACCTACCTAATACCCTTATATATTAACTTTACAGAATCATTTTATTGTGGTATAAAACTCTAATCATACCTTATTATAGAACGCCTACAGGAGAGGGACTGGGCTCCAACACAGGCATCACATGAAATGTAGAAATTGGCAGTCCAGGGAAAATATCTGAGCAATGTTTTTTTTTTTGTGAAACAAGGCATTCTGTAAAAATGGTAAACAAAGTTATAATAAATTTTAGGGAAAAAAGTTCAAAGACAATTCTTTTAAGTCTAGATATTAATCTTTGTTGACGGGTGTCAGTGTTTTGACTGAGTGGTATTTATTTCCTGAAACTGTGTCCGATAAACCTTTTTTTCTCTGAGACATTTTAAGATTAGAGTTTTGCTTCAATATCTCCAACATCAATAAATGTGAATTTGAAGTTGATATCTGTTTGTTATCTTCATATTTCATTGAAAGTCCCTTCCATTTTTCTCTTTAATTAAGCATTTTAACCTCAATGTGTCAAACTATCAGATTTCTCGATTTTTTTTAAATTGGTCCCATCAGGATAGAAAAAACAAGGTTTGTCTGTACCATTAAAATTCAGGTCCTCAAAAAAATTAATAACCTTAATTGAGATAAAGTGGTGTCTACATGTATACACATTCATTACCATTTTTCAATTTTATAGAAAAATCTTAGAAGTTTCTACTAGAATATTATGGTATTTACGGATCAATACCAAGAATTACCTCCGCCCCCACCCAGCATCTTATCTCTTCCTTACAAGTGCAACCAACAACATACGTCTGACTGAGCATATGAAAAACTTTCATAAGATGGCCATTTAATTTAAAAAATAAATATGCTTGGTAGCATTTGATTCAGCATGCTCAATGGTAACTTAAGATCAGGTAAGACCCCCTTATTACTCCCTTTTTGATGAAATCCATGCAGTTGCAGAAATTCAAGTTTTTAATCTTAACCATTTCAACTATAGAATAATATTTTATGCAATTTTCATCTAAAAAAAAATGATACTAGTTATTTTTCAATTTTGCTGCATTCTTAATTTGATAAACAATTAACATATTAAGCAATTAGCAAATGAAGTTGACATCCTTGAAAATTTTTATCGTTTAATTTACTTTTACCCATGAGAACTAAGTATACTGCACTAATCTGCAAATTAGAATGACCAAGTCCAAAATGATGGCTTGAATACATAGTACAAACTCATGTGAATATTATTTATATAAATAATTAATAATACTTGCATCTCTTTTACAAAAAAGTAAAAACAAAAAAGGAATACAATTTGAATATCAAAATTTTGATTTACAAATAACACAACTGATTTACCATATATGTGTACTACGTAGAAGCACTTCACTTAGCCGTCACTGGACATTTAATTTTGTGTGACTGAGGCTTAATGAAGGATCTTACACAAAAATCGCCCATTAATGAAAACAAAATTTAGTTATTTACTCTACACATAATATTTGAAACCTTGTTTTCACTGAACTATATTTTTATACAATGACGAATACTTCTGATATTTGGAAACAATATAACATTTATTAGAGGAACCTTAAATATTGCCCGCTACCAAATTGTGGTCTGCAAGAAAGACGTGGAAATTCTCGGATCCTTCGTACAACGTTTAACCTATTTAAAATTGATGTGTATTAGATCGCAGGCGTTGTCATACTCAAAATATATTACTGATACTAGGAGTTATATTATATATCTGAGATAAGGCTCATAATTCACAATAAACACAAAAAAATCGACTTCCCAGCTCCTACTTTCACTTTAGCGAATATCACATGACAGACCTCAGAAATAAGAGTGAATATAGTTATTAATTTTCGTGCAATATTTTTCAATATTATTTGACATTATCCTACATCTGTAGGATTAATATGCTTATTTAATAAAAAGTATTTTATAGCCTTACCTGCAAAAGAAATAACAGACGTTTACTTCGTTGGAACTGCTAAAACTTGGCGCGTATTAATTTACCTTGTCCTTTGTAAAATCAAAGATGGGGCATTCCCTAATATGACGTAAACATCGATGTTAATGTTATAATAAACAATATTAAACATTTCGATCGATACATTTTTAATAGCTGGAGATGTTTTTTACGAGATATCTCTCTAATTACTTTGTGTAAATGGGGTACTAGAGACATCAGATTACAGAAATATTCAGTAGGTTTCAATACCGGAATGGCAGCCCACAGATTTCGCATGGCGGACATGCCTAGGTGATGAAAAACAGACTATTATGGAAAAAGTACGCACAGAACTGCTAGGAACGAAACAAATAGTTGTACCCATGACGTTCAACTATCTGCACATATACAACAAATGTCATGTTATTGTTTTGTTAGACCTGTAGCTGTGCAGTCCTGCAAGTGTAATATGCACATTTTTGCTGCATGACACTGCAAGTGACAACCAAACTGCATACATGTCAAGACAGCTTTCCCATGGAAGGTGTCATAGGTCAGTTTTCAAGAGTAAGCAAGAAGTATTTATTAAGATATTGAGATTTTTATTTCATACGAGTTTCACTTGGATGAACACAAAACTATGAGGCGCCGTTTTGGTATTTACTGCCAAAAAGTGATATCACCTATTCGAATAGGTGATATCACCTATTCAATTGGTGATATCACCTATTCGAATAAGTGATATCACCTATTCAGCTTCTGAATAGGTGATATCACCTATTCGAATAGGTGATATCACCTATTCGAATAAGTGATATCACCTATTCGAATAGGTGATATCACCTATTCGATTTGATATTTACTGCCAAAAAGTGATATCACCTATTCGAATAGGTGATATCACCTATTCAATTGGTGATATCACCTATTCGAATAAGTGATATCACCTATTCAGCTTCTGAATAGGTGATATCACTTATTCGAATAGGTGATATCACCTATTCAAATCAAATAGGTGATATCACCTATTCGAATAGGTGATATCACTTATTCGAATAGGTGATATCACTTAATCATTTTGAATAGGTGATATCACTTATTCAAATAGGTGATATCACCTATTCAAATTATTTATGAAATAACAACTGCTCCCAAGACAAAAGCTTTAATTCTCATTTACTTTCACTTTCGTTTTATAACTTACCATTCTTGCAGACAATGGATTACAGCTTCGCATTTAGTTTTAAGCACCCCAGTAGAATTTGTTGTTTGTTTTGCTCACAAATTATATTTATTACACTTATCTATCATGTATACTATAGGAAAATTCAAAGGGTCTGTAAGTCTCGTTGACTTTCACTTTCGTTTTATAACTCCCGGGTACCTGAGCGTTCTTGGAGACAATGGATTACTTAAGTTGTAAGCATCGCAGTGGAATTATTAAACATGTAGTTTGTTTTGATCCCCGATTGTTGCAAAGAGGAAGAGAAAGTGGATTGATAGATGCAGGTAAATAGCGTTTAATTGGTTTATTTTTTCATTACATAACGTAAACACAAGCTATTCCGAGGGGGCCAAGATTAGCCAACATACTTAAGCAGAAAGGGAAATTTAAATCGTTTTTATGCTAAAATCGTCTGTATTCAAAAGGTACGCTTATCTACAGATTGGTTTCATAAATTTAAAGCATTGACTTAGCTTACAGTGGTATAATTTGGAGTATTGGACAGGTATACATGAGTTTGGGATATTGAATGCGATGTCATTGAAAGGAAATAAAAAAATAGATGTACCCAAATGCATCGACCATGGGAATACAAAGTTGAATACCACGTCTATAACATATGATCTTTGTAGAAAACACATTCTTTTTTTTTTTAATTACTACAATAAATAAAAATGGTCAGCTCATTCTGTAGGCTATAAGCTGCCCTGTCTATTCGGAAATAAAAATGGTCACACACACTCAAAAAATAATCATTTTTTATTCTACAAAGAAGAAGGCATTTTTTCATATACACATACAAACTGTATTAACCGCCAAGTTTCATGACCCCCCCCCCCTCCCCCTTGCCAATACTCCTACAATTATGAGACAGACTTTTTTTTCTTGAAATAGGCATTTTTCTCCATTTGTCATTATATATTACAGGGCTGCACAAGGTACTGAAAAAGGGACAGTGCTTTGAGTGAATGTGT